CTTAGGACAGGTGTCAATCCATATCTGCCAAGTGACCCTATGTAGGGGGACCAGTCTCTATTCTACTCTGTGTCCGTGTGCATCAGGGGCTCTGAGGACAGGTGTCAATCCATATGTCAAGGTGTCAATATGTCATATGTCAGGTGTCAATCCATATTGATTGTGATTTAGGAATGTTAGGTGATTTCTGCCCTTTATGGATTAAAAACCAGACTCTGTATCAACTGTGTAATTTTCCATGGGAGTTTTGCCATGGATCCCCCTCCGGCATGCCACAGTCCAGGTGTTAGTCCCCTTGAAACAACTTTTCCATCCCTATTGTAGCCAGAAAGAGTCCCTGTGTGTTTTAAAATTCGCCTCCCCATTGAAGTCAATGGCGTTTCGGGCGGTTCGCCGGTTCGCGAACACTTGCGGAAGTTCGCGTTCGCCGTTCGCGAACCGAAAATTTCGGGTTCGCGACATCACTATGTATGATCAGCATATCCAGTAAGTACAGAATAGGCGACTATTTTTAGTAATAAAATCCTGAGTGCAACTTCTGCACACACTAACATAAGCTTATTTGAAGGGTTATTCGCTATAGTAAGACTAGTCAGGAATTTTAAAAACTGGAAATTCAATTTGAATTATTTTTGAATTCCCAATTATTTTCACATAAAAAACCCCCACTGTTTGAAGGAGCTTATCAGAGGCAGGCCATGAAGACCCCTAAGAAGGTTCCATAATGACTCCACACTAGCCACACCTTCAGCCACACCCCCTGAAATGACAGTGTGCCTCTTTAGTGATTTGGAATGCTAAATCCTGTGGTATAGTACCAGAAAAAACTATTTTGTCCCATACAGTAGTGTGACAAAAATTTGATAAATTAAAGAAGTAAAATATACTTTGCAGCCTGTAATGCATTTCTATAAACTATTCCGTTTGCAGTAAGCTTTCCCTCCCTGAAGTTTGACCTGTTCTTGTAAAGTGTGGAAGGTGGAAGGGGAGTTGTCACAAATGGAAAAAATAGTTATTTTGGGAAACAAACCTAAAGGAAACCTATAGTTTTTCAGTGGTGGATATGGAATGGCATCCCAGAGAGTCACCACCTGGTTGCTAGGGACCCAGTAGCCATGAGGGAGTACCTGGTGGAAAGGTTTCAACTCACGTCATCCAACTTCTTCCAGGCAAATCGCTCTTTTTTAAGAAGTCACTCAGAGGGGGAGTCCACCTTCTATGAATTTATATGTAGACAGGCACATAAAAGAGTAGGTTTGCTCTCAATTGTGACCCTTGGGTTGCCTCCTCTATAGGGATATCACCCACTTATGAGCAGAACAGAAACTTATTTTTAGAGTTTGCGTGGCTTGCACCTCTGATTGACTAAGACATGAAAGAGAGCCCCGCCTTCACAGACTCCTCTGCTGCAGCCTCCACCTCTGCCTCTGTCGATACCAGAATCCAAGCTGACATTCCTAGCGATATAATCCACTCCAATTCTTCTCAAAGAAAAGCATTGGTTGGGAGAATGCATTCATGGCAAAGCGCTGGGCTCCTCCAATCAAATGCTGGTATCATTCATCTTTGTTTAAGGCTTTGGTATAATTGTCATCATGAATATTATATCTGTTCCCCCCTCTTCTCTCCTCCTTCCCACCTCTCCTGTTTCTTATTCATTCGATATAACATATTCCTAGTCAACATACAGGTATAGCCCTCAACCAATTATCATTATTACAATATTATAGTATATATACGGCTATTGCTATTTACTTAATTGACAGTTTAGATATCGAGAGGGAAGGGGATGAGAAAAAAAATAAATAAATATTTATAAATTCATGAGACAAAGAAAGACAATATAAACACAAAAAACCCTTCCATAACTATACACATTCGAAACGACATACATTAAACAGTTAAGTACAGTAAGTAGTTTTCCCCCTCTGCATTCTATCCTTTTCTCTAACCCTCCTAGTGACGGCCAGGAAGGAGAGGTGTAGTTGACACTGCAATATAAACATTGCAATTTCTACAAAACGGCAATGTTTTATATTGCAGGTTTAAAATGACAATGAGATGAAGTGGTCTGGGTGACTTTATATTTCCTTTACATTATGCCCCACTTTTAGAGTCCTGCCTCTGCATGCATTCAATATACATCCTTGCCTCAAAACTGTTCATATATATGCACTCAACCATACAGAGACAGCAGCGTAACCAACCCAGACATTGCTATTTCATTAGCAGATATGATAGTTCCTTAGGATCAAATATCGCAAGGTATCAGAAAACAACCAAAGTATCTTGAAAACTGACATAACACAGGTGGCTGCAATGTGTTAAATGTCTACATAAATGCCACTACTGTATTTCTGCAATGAGATGCTCTCACAGATTAATGATGGGTAACCTGGGCATCTGTAGTGCCTTGACATCCCTGTTATAGGTCATTATTCATTAATTTTCCTGTTTCTCTTGCTGTAAAGGTTTTACCTTCCCTATGTCTGAAGATGATATCCAGTCTGCATTTCATGAAAACTGTCTTCCATTACATTCCGCACCAGATACACACTTACACACTTAAAACCTCTCACTCTCAGTAATCCAGATCAGAAGACACAATGGATCAGAGAATGCCTGTGTGGGAATCTCATAGCCCCGAGGAGGACAGAGAGCATGTCTGGGTGTAAAAAGGTGATAACAGCCAGAGGGTATTCAATTATTTCAATACTTCTCTTTATCAGCTTGTCAGAAATGTTAAACTGGTGACAATTTTTTTATTTATTTTCTTTTTCACTGTTGAATTCATTTTTATGTAAAGAAAATTACTAAAAAAAATGTTTCTGCCCTCCAAAAACATACAAACAAAACTACAAAACAAAATTGGAAGACAATTGTTTATACTCAATGTTCATGCCTGTTTTTCTTAGTTTGCAAAATACTTAAAGCTGAAATAAACAAACGTGATTTATTCACTTAACAGTGAGCTACGGTTGTATTAAGAACAAAATGATAAAAAAAAGTAAAAAAAAAATACAGAACAATCTCTGACAATAATATTTACCATTATTTCTGTTTAAATCTCAATTTATAAATTTCTCATTTACAGAAACTCACTGTTTAGTGAATATGTCCCTATGTTCGCCTCTGGATAACATACTGTTGTGTGTCCTTGGCAGACTCCCGGCTAGCACAATTTGCTTTTGGAATAGGATGCAACTACTGAGCAAACCTTAATCATTTCGATTCATTTATAATTCCTGTCTGATCCTTACCATTAAAACAAACGACATTTTATAATCTCTAGCATAATCAGATATTTCCAATTTAAAATCAAGAACAGGAAAAAGATGTCAAACAAATCTTTTTCTATTAACCTTTTCTTAGTATGTATGGGTCAATATTTACCACCACAATTCTTACACCAACAAGAACCTTTTAAACCCTGTATTTTCTTCCTCATCATGTCCGACAACTATAAAGCAAACTTCAAAGAGTGTATTCTTCCATTTCATGTATTACTTCTTAACAAAGATAACACCTGGGTTGTTTTAAAGTGTGGAATGTGTCAACTATCTACCAATTTGTTCCAAGTGTAAACAGATCGGATTTCAATCAAACTGGTAAAATCAATTTTTAGTATACAATAACAACTGACACCATTTTAACTCAATTCAATAACAATATAAAAAAATAAAATTTTGAATTATAATTAAATAATGGCTTTGCTGTGTTGAATTGCATAATTAAATTGTTTGTAATTTCTCCATACAGAGTGAATCAAAAGTCAGGAAAAATTCAGGCATTAACCAAATATCAGAGAGATGCAAAAGGTGCTAAATGTTAATGCATTCAAAATGGCGGTTTTCAAGATGGTGGAGGAGTAGAGTAAATGGGTAATACTAATGATAATAGGTATTAATATTTAGGCCATTGTTCTAACTGGTCATTTATTCTTTCTGATACCCCCTATACTGGGTAAAAGAAGGAAACAGTTTTATAAGTACTGTGGAAACTTTCTGTGAGAATTTCAGAATTCAAATTCCTGGACAGCTTAATAAATCTCAACAGTAGTGTTCTGAATGAAACTTGATCTACGTATGTGAATTTTAGGCCTAGATTTTGGTTATTGGTTCTTGCCAAAAATACATTATCTATTTAAAATTTAAAAAAGACAATTTAGATAATTTACAAATTCTTGCTGAATATAATTTCACTGCCTTAAAATAAATACTTTTTTTAATTTTTTTTTTTTTTTTAAATTCCACTATTTTAGTGGATATGAAACTACTACATGATGAATTGGTAAAGCTGAAATTAATTTATTTTACACCCCCTCCCCCCAGCATTGTAAACAGTTTTATAAAGACAAACTGTTACTAAGTGCTGCACATTATTTTGCTAGCATATTTATTTAAGTGAAGAACAAACAAAGAAAATCAACAGTGGTAGATGCGCTTATTGCTTTATAAATAATATTTAAAATAGCGAGCTGTCCTGGTATCCTCGCTGGCCAGAGTTGGTAGGCTAAAGACATAAAGTTTCCCATTTTATGTAACAGTCACACAATATAAACACAGCTGTATTAGGACTGGGGAAAGCATTGATCTGTCTCAAAATTCAAAAGGCCACTTTACATACAAATAAAACACAAACTAAAATATACTGAAGACCAGATGTAGTGTAACATACAATCACAAACATTCATATCAGTCCTAAACCCCGCATTGTAACTATTTGATTGTTTGCATGCGCTGTTGTTATGCCGTACAGTAATCAATCACATAAAACAATAGACATTAAGAAATAAGTGCATTTTTATATTTTATAAAAAAATTAAAAATGAAAAGATGAATTCTAGTAAATTTCAACAAAAATACATTTACATAATAAAAATCAGTACATTTATTCCATGCTAAGTATACACTGTTACCTGTTTTTTCCCCAAGTGATATTTCCCTTGCACAATTGTATTCACTATTTTTCGCATTAGTTCAGTACTATTCATTACATTTGCTTTTTATTGGTTAAGCACAAATTATAAAAGCACAAAATGTTAACTAAAGTGACTTTTTTTTCTGCACACAGCTAATCTTTACTATGTTTTTTTATTTTTATAAATGCATGTCTTCAAGTTTAGGTATGTTTTAAGATTGTGTTATGTTTAATATGTTTAATATGAGGACTTGTTTGTGCCATTATAATACAATACTGGAGAATGGCATCAACTCGTACTATCAAGTAAAAACAACTATGTATAACAGTGTGCATTTGTCAACGCATGTATTATTATTATTATAAGTTTATAATTAGTTGTGGTTATAGTTAACTTTTATTTATTTTTTTCATTTTCTCATCTTTTAGTCAGACTGGGAAAAGTCTACCAAAAACTCTTCTGAGCAGTCAAAGACCACCTCTTATTCAGCCACCTTGGGAATCTTCTGCATTATCAATATAAATACCCATACAAATTCTGTCTAATCCGGATGGTAAAGTTTGGCTTAGAGTAGTGGCTTAGCTCACCCTCAGGGCTCTGAGCTGTAGTGATTATGGTTTAAGTGCCCAGGATTAGACAAGCAGATGGAGGAATCCTATTTTACTGCAGTGCCATTTGCACAATGCTACATTCAGGACCAGCCTTGTAAAATGTTCTCACGACTTGTTGTCAAACTTGCTCAATTGTACTCTAAAGGAGTAAAAACATGTTAACTGGAGTGATGACTCATTCTTTAACATCATGCAATATGCTGGGTCTGATGGGTGTCATGAGAAAGTTTTTTGGATTATGTTACATCGTCTTGGTAAGACCTGACTCTGAACTCATTGAGCCTGTCTAGTTTCGATTATGGCCTGCAAACAATTAATTGTCAGATAATGGACTTAATTCTAACTAAAGCTCTAAGGGCTGTATGGAAGCAAAACTTCTTGTGAAAACGTTATACTCCACAAAATTATTTTTCTTTCTTTCTTTCTTTCTATCTGTCTGTCTGTCTATTCAATATTGTGTGAGCTGTACAAGTTTGGTTGTGATTTGTATTTAAAGCAAGATGAATACAAAACTGCTTGTGCAAAAAAGGTGAAATTGCACACCAATTAAACATGTTTGATGCACAGAAACATAGACACATGTTTTAAGTCACTTTTTTTTTTTTAAGTCTGCTGATTGTATAGTCCGTGGATTATCTTTAGAAATTGTGGAATCAATCTGGAAATATTATTTTTTTAGAGTTAGAATTTTTTTACACAGCAAATAATAACGAATAGTCAAACATACTATTCGGGGAAGGAAAGGGCAGGGGAACTTGGAAATAGGAAAGGGGGATCCATTCTTATTAGTAAACATATGAAATAGTGTACAAAATATTAGTTATACATCTTTGAATTTAACAAAATATGTATTCTATTATATTATATTTTCTTCCCATTTATCCCAAATATGTTGAAGATTTACAAATAAATGTCTATTTTTTCTATAAGACATTTTGTTTCTTTTACTATCTAAGACCACTGTTTAAACTTCTTTACGTGTAGGTAAAGTTTTAGACTTCCAGTATCTAGGGAGACATGAAGTACCTGCAATTAGAATGTGACCTATCAATAATTTGTCAATCTTCGCAACAGACTCCAGGAGTTTCTTAAATAGTGCTAGCTCTGATGTCAAGGTACTTATATTCTTATCCACTTTAGTAATCAGATCGTGAATCATTTTCCAATAACTGGCTAATTTTGGACAAAACCACCATATGTGTGCCATGTTCCATGTACCTCCACAATCCCTCCAACACCGGTCCGAATACACATTGTTCATGTTGTGCAGTCTAGACGGAGCCAGGTACCAACGATATAAAATCTTATAATGGTTTTCAAAATGGTCAGTACAGTATGAAATTCCCTTAAGTGTAGTAAAAAAAACAAACAACTCTTTCAAACTGTATTGTGTACCCAACTCCGTCTCCCACGACAACATGTGTCTCAACTTATCGGAAGTTTCAACATTATAAACTGAGTAGCATATAGAAATGATACCTTTTCTTCCTGGTTCATAAAGGAAAACCTTTTCCAAGGTCGAACTTTCAAGTGTCTTATAGTTTTTATCTATTTCTGGAATGTTGAATAATTCTTTCAATTTATTTATAATCACTGAACAGTGAAATTTAAATTCGTCCTGTAAACCATACTTGAATTTTAATTAATCAAAAGACATTATGGCGTTGCCATGAAAAAATGTTATCCAGATGATTTATGGAATAAGAATGCCAGAAATCTGTATCCAAGGACAACACATATTCCTTCAACATTGTAAGTGGCATATTGTTTCTAAAATCAAGGCCCCCAGCCTTGAGTGTTGTTCTGGTTGAAAAAAAATAAACTGGTAGTTCTTTTCTGGGCCTACCCAAAGAATCTCCTTAAGTCTAAATGGAAAAGCCTTACCCATCTCCATTTCTAGCCATCTTGGTTTATTAAAATTGTTATTAAAACTAACTGCAACTGCGGCATTGGTAGCGAAATAGTATTTACGAATATCGGGTACACCAATACCTCCATTGGATTTATTATGTTGCAAAGTAGTCAGTTCGATCCTACTTGGTTTCTTATGCCAAATAAACTTTCAAATCACTGAATTAATTTTTGAAAAGAACGATAACAGGACAGACAGGGGTATGGTCCTGAAGTAGTACAATTTTTTTGGAAAGATTGTCATCTTAACAGACACAATCCTACCCAACCATGAGAGCTCCAACCCTCATCATCTCTCCATCTCCTTCTGTAAGTCGGGCCACGCCCTATTCAAATTATAAGTATGCATTATTGTTAAATTTTTGCATAAACCAATGCCTAACAGTCTATAAAATCGCTTTTCCAATCGTATGGGTATGAACTCTTTAAAGCCATAAGTGACTAATATGAAAGGTAAGAGCCTGCATCTTAGTTTCATTAAGCTTGTAATATGATACCTCTCCAAACAATATATCTTTCAAATGTCTCAAGGATTGTTTCAGGTTTTTAATTGATAAGATAATATCATCTGCAAACAATCTGATCTTGTGAATTATTTCACCAAACCCTATACCTTCTACATCTGGACTTAGTCTGATAAGCTCAGCCAAGGATTCAATAGCTATGACAAATAAGAGTAGGAATAATGGGCATCCTTGTCTAGTTCCATTAGACAGAGAAAAAGTCTCGAACTTGAAACCAAAAGCATTTACATGAGCTATGGGATTACTATACAATGACGTGATTGCTTTTATGAATGACAAAGGAACATTACATTTGCTTAGTCTCTTCCACAAGTACCTCCAGTGAATTCTATCAAACGCCTTCTCTGCGTCTAAAGATAGAAGCAGAGAAAGGCGTCTTAAACAAATTAATATGTTGAATTAAGTTGATAAACCTCCTAGTTCCATCTGGTGCCTGTCTACCTTGTACAAAATCTACTTATTAATAATCAACTGAATCAATTTAGCCAATCTAATTGCTAACACCTTGGAATATGTTTTTGAATCATTATTAAAAAGAGAAATAGGTCTAAAATTAGGACACTTATCTGGAGTTTTACCGTTTTTGGCAAGGCAACTATGTGTGCACATAAGGACTAATCCGGCATCTCCCCCCTGGACTTATAGGAATTAAACAATTTAACATATGTGGAATTAAAATTTCAGCAAAGGTTTTATAATATAAAATGGTAAATCCATCAGGACCAGGGGCTTTCCTTAATGGCATAGATTTGATTGCCTCAGATATCTCCTTAGCTGAAATATCACATTCTAAACTCTCTCCTCTTTCTGTAGGTATCCAAGGCAATGGAACCATGCTCAAGAACTAGTCAATTTTGTCATCTGGGGGCTGAGATATATCTGAATTCAATTTTAGATTATATAATTTGCTATAATATTTAGCGAACAAATCACAAATTTCTGTTGGGTGAAAAACGTTATCCCCTTGATCATTTATTAAGTAAGCTATCTTGGATTGGGCATCCATATGCTGGAGTTTGAATGCCAGAAGAGTTGAGGCTTTGTTGCCCTTAAAATAAAATGTTTTCTCACCATGAGAAAAGTACAATCTAAATAAATTTTGTTGATTTTTGACTTGACATCCCCTATCATCGCTGATAGAGAAGTCGATGGGCCATATTTATTTACTTTTTCAGATTATATATTTATTTTTCTAAAGTTCTTAAGTCTTTGTTATTAACCTTCTTCAGGTAAGACGCCCTCAAAATGAAATGGCCCTGCAACACAGCCTTCTGTGCATTCCAAGCCACTTCGCCAGAAATTTCAGATGAAACATTATCTAAAAACTAATCATTCAAAATTTCTGCTAATTTCCTATTTTCCTCATCATTTCGCAAACTATCACCTAGTGTCCATGTTCGGTTCAGAATTGAAGATATAATCTCATCTAAATAGACATAATCTCATCTACAATAGGAGCATGGTCCGACCAATTGATATCCAGAATATAAGATATCAAGATGCGCAAGATCAGACCACTCTGAACCATAAACCTGTCTTTCCATTAGTACATATTCTTCGAAACAGAATAATGCATAAAATCTCTCTCTCCATAATGCGTAAGTCTCCATGTGTCATACAAGCCACATTCAATCATATACCTAGAACATTTTCAGCCAATTTATCACTATCTCTTTTGTGAGACTCAGAGGGATCTTCCCTAGCATTATGAAGCTCACCATCCATAGTAAAATTTGTGTCCCGAAACATTATCACATGTCCACATGTATTCCCATTCACTAAGTCTATTATGTTTCTAAAAAAAATGTAACTGACCGGTGTTCAGGAAATATACGTTAATTATAGTGTATTCTATATTATTAATTTTTACTATCCATAGCACATATCTCCCATCATTGTCCGTTACCACTTTATCTGTTGAACAGGCCACATTCTTATTAAAAAAAAATCGATACTCCTCTAGATTTTGTTTTATACATGGTATGGAATTGGGTTGGGAAGAGCTTTGTCATTAACTTATGTTCCTTATTTGCCTTAAAGTGTGTCTCTTGTATGCATACAATATCAGAGTTGAATTTCTTAATTTCTTTAAACAATAATCTCCTCTTGTGTGCAGTGTTCATTCCTCTCACGTTAATGGATAAAAATGTCAGCACCATAATCTATAGTGAGTGTTGTAGAAATAAGAGAAAAAGAAAAACACAGTATGAGAGACCGAGCACCGACACGCCAAGAGAGATCAAGCACATCCGATATTTCCATAGCACAGAAACCATATTTCTTGCAAATGTAAATAAAAATAAGGCAGTAAGAAACCAATTCAAATACTAAGAACCATATTAAGTTAAGCAAAGTAAACAGTGTGCTTTCAATTAAAATATTTACCGTTATAAGAAACTTTTCATAAGCCTCAAAACATTGGATGGACAAAAATAAATAAATAAATAAAAGGAAATAAAAAACTTGGATATACACCCCTATCAGGGAAAAAAACTAAACATTCGTGAAAGCAAGGGCCGTGAGCGAGAATACAATTTTTTTCTCCATCTCAGGGTGTTAGGCCCAGGTGGAGGGGGAAGAGAAGCTTACTGAGAACCAAGGAAATCATTGTGACCAAAGCACAATCATGAAAAAATGTATAAATAAAATAGTGAGTAATTATAAACAAAATACCCTTGTTTAGTCAATAAAGGTCTGAGTTAAGTACTTGTGATATATAACTAGAAGCCTCAGACAGATGAACCCAGAAGTTAATCAAACTGGATAAATAGGGAAAAAACAAACAAACAAACAAACAAAAATATATAACCACTTATTCACGTAATCCAGATAATCTTCGCGACAAACGCAGAAATCCATTGTGCAATCTAAAAATTGTAAAAAGAAGGTAAAAGCAACAAAAAAAAAGAACTAAAACAGCATCCCACTATGAAACAATCCTTCAAAAAAAGCATAAGAATAGGAATCTTGAAGAAAATTACACCATATACACAATAAAAAAAATCAGAAACTAAGAAGTGCTACTGTTGCTCATGGGGCATCCGGCTTACTCCTCCTACTAGGGTGATCAGGAATCTGGAAATATTTTGAGAGTGATGGCAAACCTATGGCACTGATGTGAATTTAGGCATTTGGAGACATCTGAACTGGCACTTAGTGTCTGCCTACTTGTGAGCCATGAATCCAAAAGTCCCAATCAAATGTGCACTTCTAAGGTTCCACTGTATCATCAGGTAACTTGTTACTACAGCTAATTCCAGGTTGATAGAACCTTCCACCAGGGTGGATGCAGACTGGAGGGGAAAACTCTGCATGGGAAGGAGAAGTTTATTCAGAAGATAGGAGGGACCATAAATTACTTTA